TATAAATAAAGTCCTTACTGGACCTCTAGGAAGAACAGTTTAGAACTGATAGAGCTATCCAGTATAGATCAAGTTAGTTTAGTTTAGGTTTCCTCCTGTAGTAACACTTGGTCAATAAGAGATGATCCTTACTGGTCCTCTGGGTAGAACAGTTTAGAACTGATAGAGCTATCCAGTATAAATAAAGTTAGTTTAGTTTAGGTTTCCTCCTGTAGTAACACTGGATCAATAAGAGATGATCCTTACTGGACCTCTAGAGAGAACAGTTTAGAACTGATAGAGCTATCCAATATAAATAAAGTTAGTTTAGGTTTCCTCCTGTAGTAACACTGGATCAATAAGAGATGATCCTTACTGGACCTCAAAGAAGAACAGTTTAGAACTGATAGAGCTATCCAGTATAAATAAAGTTAGTTTAGGTTTTCTCCTGTAGTAACACTGGACCGTGCAACAAAGGATATGAAATAGAATAGAATTCGTGAATTGATGTGATAATAGTGAGATTCAGATTTGATACTGTATATCCGATTAACCAATCAGTTGCATACCGCGTATACGCCAAGAGGTAGCGGTATAGTGAAAGTCACATTTGAACCTCTCTAATGTTCTGAATATAATGGTACTTGGAAAGCCTTTTTAGGGAAGTTCAATAAATCGTTCATTCGAGTTCTCATTTCTCTCCACAGCAACCTCCATGGGCGTTGGCTCAAGCAGTTTTAGCAGAAGTGCCAAACCAGGTCTCAGAATATTTCCAAATGAAGAAACTAACGCCTGGCGCAAGACCACCACAAACGTAGAAATGTTGAAGACTTGTAAGTAAATAGATAGTTGTATAGACAATTTATGCATAACTATGGACGTAAAGGAATCCGACGTTGTATACGTTCAGCCATTTGGGCAGCTCAAAGGGCACAGTTCAGCCTTTTGAATGATGGTTTTTAAGGCGCATTTCAGCCTTTTAAATTGCAAAAACTAACTAGGAAAATCAATTATGCATAATTCAAGATCAGCAAACTTCAAGATACAGCAAAACATTTTTATTGTTAAAATTTATTTTTTTATTATTAAAGTTTTTATTGTTACTGATCTTGAATTTTGCATAATTGATTTTCCTGAAATGCGCCTTAAAAACCATCAGTCAAAAGGCTGAACTGTGCCTTTAAAGCCTCGGTCAAAGGAAAACGAGAATTGATGAGAGTTGGCAGTCACACATTGTTATACTGGGGACATTTCAAGCTCTAGATTAACAAAATAAAGGTTTAATGAGTGTTCCAACTATGTTTTAACTTCAATAGATTACATGATAGTGTTGGGAAGCATTAAGAACAGCTAATCAAGTTGTGTACAACACTGGTTAAGGTTTAGTAGGGCTTAAAGACCTGGGGCCGGTTGTATAAAAACGTAGTTAGCGCTAACTGTAGTTAGCGTTAATCACTGTAGTTAAATCCTTAACTGTAATTAGTTAACTACATGACTTAACTGCGTTGCACAAAACGTAGTTAGTCGGATAGTTAACTAATCACGTAGTTAACTGTGCGTGGGGCTTGCGTGGGGCGTTTAAACACAAAATTACATAAAGTAAGCAGCGAGTAACGACTGCTGACACACATTTTCAACATGATTGTGGACTCGCATTTTGCAAATAGGCGGGAATTTTATTCAAAACACTAGAAAACAGTGAAAAATAAACAAGAAAACAAGGAAAAACCGCCACAAAAATCATAAAAGAATGCAGTTTTTCCTTGAGATGTCTACGTTAAACCAAGGCATAGCTGTTTGGCAATTATATATCAGTGTTTCTTGGTGTAATGGACCATACTTCTTCTTCGAGAAATCCTCCTGTGCAAAAATATGTTCTGTTTTCGTAAAAACATCAAAGCGATAG